GGGGGGGGGGTAAATACCACCTTGGCCTCGTATACGCCGATGCATCCCTCGCGGTCCTTGGTCCGAGCTGGTCTAGAAGCGCGGGGCCGGGGTGGGGCTCGCGACGCACGCCGGTGCCGGAAGGGAGGGATGGACATCGGAGGAGAAGGACAGCGCTCGGTTTCGACCGCGCAGGAGGAGCAATTGCTGCTGCTGCTGCTGCTGTTGCTGCTGCTGCTGCTGTTGCTGTTGGTACTGGAATTGGGCATGCTGTTGCTGCTGCCGGAAAGCCGAGTGTAGGATATCACGCGAGGCTGGATCTGAAAAGTCCCTGGGAGAGGACAGGTCGCCCGACAGGTCCAGGGAGGAGCTGTCTTGCTGGTGGGCCGGAGGGAGGACAAACTCCGACAGGAGCAGGACCTCACAAGAGGGACGTGCATTATAGTCGAAGGTCAGGCAACGCTGGAGGAAATTCCGCGCGGCGGGGCTGCAGGCGTCCGGGAACTCTGGTGGCTCGAAAGTTGATAGCCGATAGACAATTTGAACAATGTTCAATCCAGGGAAGGGGGTTCTCCCGGAAAGCATCTCAATCAGCGTACAAGCCAGTGACCAGATGTCCGACTTGAAGGTGTGGGCCTCATCAGACTGGAACACCTCCGGGGCCATCCAGTTCGGCGTGCCATGGATGGATTTGGGTCCGGAGGAGGTGATGGACTGCACACATGCACACGGGACCGAGAAGAGGAAGGGGGGAGGTAGGAGGGATGGAAACAAGCCACGGGCATGAGACAGTGTCAGTGAAAGAAAGGAAGACGCTCCCTTGTTGAGAGCAAGGAGATATATGCACACACACGCAGAGAGACACACACACAGACACACACACGCACCTTCAAGTGTCTTGAAGCCCCGAAGTCCGCCAACTTTACTCGGCCCGTGGAATCCAACAGGATGTTGCCACCCTTGATGTCGCGATGGATGATGTCTCGCGAGTGAAGATAATGCAGTCCTTGCAGCAACTGGTGCATGAAACTCGAGGCAAGGGGCTCCGGGACCGGGCCAAAACGCCCGATGAAAGTGGCCAGCGACCCGCCCGGGGCATACTCCATCATGAGGGATACCGTCGACGCCGACACCGAGATACCAATGTACTTGACGATGTGCGGATGGGATAATTGGCTGAAGAGGCGGATTTCCTCGCGCAGAGCCTGCTGCGCTTGAGTATTGGCATAATCACTCTGGGGGACATCCTTGACGGCGAAGAACTGGCCCGTAGATGCCCGGATGGCCAGATATACTTGGCCGTATGCCCCGCGTCCGAGCAGGGCCCCCTTGACATACATATTCTCATCCTGCCCATCGGGGTCCATGCCATTGGCCATGGTGGCCGGGAGGCCAGCCGCCCCGGCAGCCAGGCTGTTGGAGCTCCCGCCGATGCAAAATGTGCCCGACGTGGCCGCTGCCGCTGCCGCTGCCGCCACCGCCGCATGGTGGGCCTGTGCTGCCAAGTACCCGGACGCGGTGCTGGCGACGGAGGAGATCGAGGAAATGGAGGAGGCCGAGGAGGCAGGTGACAGGCCGACATTCAGTGATGATCCCGGGGCGGCAAAACGATCGGACGAGAAGGAGGCAATGAAGGACGATGGCAGAGCCGGGCTGTCGGGAGCCATGAGGCCGAAACGCGACATCGGGATTTGGGGATTGGACTCGCGTCGGGGTCGACGACGCTGTTGCATCGGAAATGGCGGTTGGGACGATGGCTGTGACTGGGCAGCTCCCGAGGGGTAATATTGTGGTTGCTGGTGCTGTTGCTGCTGCTGCTGGTGGTGGTGGTGGTGGTGGTGGTGGTGGCCCTGTTGTCCGGCATCGCCAGCCGGCTTGGGCCCGCCACCAGGAACACCCATGGACCCTTGAGAGCCATTGCGCAGGAGCTGCCCAACTGAAGAGGCAGACGGTGACACGCCAGCGGGGGGTCGAGGCATGGAAGAAATGTCCGAGCCACTGGTCCCAAAGGAGGAGGACCGGTGACCGTGATGGGCCTGCTGGGGCTGGAAGTAGTGCTGCTGATGATGCTGAGAGGAGCTGCCCTGCTGCGGGATAGGTGCCGCATGACGAGCTTGCCCGAGCGCCAGGCCCGCCCCCTCGAATGAGGGCATATTGCCGCCGGCAATGTATGATTGTAAGCTCCCATGGGGGCTAATCGAGTCAACTGGCAGCGAGAGGGAGGAAGACTGCCTCCGACCGCCCTGACCCAAGTCCCCGTAGAGTCGCTGCGGGGGCGGTGTGACATTGTCGGCCGAGGGGGTGGGGGATTGACCGCCCCCGGTGGCCGAGCCACCGACATTGGCGGTGCCCCCTCGGGCGCCAGCATTACCAAGGCGAGATCCCGACGGCGAGTCCGGGCGGAAGGAGTCGCTTGGCAGGGAAATCGACGTGCTGGTCAGAGAAACCGGTCCGAAGGAATGCGGAGAGATGGACCGTGGGAAGTCGCCCGCCGGCGACACCTGCCCGGGGGTGGGGGCATTTGAGTTGAGTGGACCACCTGAGCCACCCGAGGAGGACCGGAGGGGGGAGCGCCAAAAGTGAACGGTCAGGGGGCGGGCAGGATAGGAGACAGGGAATGAAGGGGGCAGCGGGAGGGGGGAGAGGGAAAGAAAGCGCACCAGCGGCATTTCGCTGGCCCCCAGAGGACGTGGCCTCCTCGATGATGAGATAAATGGATGCATCATCCGACACATGCTTCAACACCAGGGCCCAGTCCTCTTTCGAGCGGACCGGGAGGTAGGTGTCCTGTTGTCGGTACCAAGGGGAAGGGAAGGAGGCGGAGAGGAGGGGGGGAGGCTGTCAGTTTTGGGAATTTACGATACCAGCTGTGGAGTGTCTCATTTTGGGAGGAAGGACAGGACGTACATCATGCTGGACAAAATACACATTCGAGGGGGCATCAGACTTCGGGAGGAGGGCCTGGATCAGGGCGAAATCCTCGCGCCGAGGAACAAGTATCGAGCTACACAGGGGGAGAGGGGGTGGAGGGTGCGACGTTAGCAGGAGCGGGGTGGAGGGGAGGGGGTGCTTGCCGGAGCGCCGGGACATGGCACAAGAACAGTCATGGACAGGTAGAGAGAGAGAGAGGGGGGGGGAGGGAGAAGGAAACGTACCAGAGGGCCTCTTTATAGAGATAAACGATGGTACCCTGTGTCATTACGGAGGCAGCCCCCGAATGGGCCTAAAAGAAGCGGTCGGAGCTCCGGCGCAACAGGGGGGAGCGCCGCGCCCCACGAGAAGAAACAAAGGAAGAGGAGGGAAAGGGGAAAGAGCGCCTCTACCGCTGTGTATCCCGGGGGATCAGGCCGGCAGCGGGGCAGGTAGGTCGAGGCAAAGGTCCCTCGGCGACTCGGCCATCCTCTGGACAGGGAGGCGCTTCCGGTGATGGAGAAAGGGCGAGAGGGGGGGGGGTGCTTGCTCGGAGGAAGAGGCAGGTGTGGGGGGGGGGGAGAAGGGGGGGGGAGGGGGAGTGGAGCGCGCTGGAGGCTGCCAGTGGGCGCTGAGCCGATGTCGGGGCCGAAAAAAGGGCGGGGCACCTCTCTCGCAGGCGCACCGGCGCCGGCCACCCAATGGGACATCGCCGTGCTGAGCCTGGTGGGGCGGAAAACTGCTCCCGCGGGTAGGATCGCGCGCGTACTCACACCGTTTTTCGCGCGTCGGGCACGGGCCACAACATGCGCATGCTCCCCGATCGGTGGGCACATGCCCCCCCCCCGCCCAGCCGGTCGCCGAAACCGTTCCCGGCTCCGGTATTGTCATCTCCCCTCCCCAGGGCAGGGGGGACCATGGAAAAAGGGCCGACGAATGGGACGCATACTCGTCGGTGCCCCGCCCCGCCCGCACCCTCTCTCTCCCTGTATCCCTCCTTCTCCCTTGGTGACCTCCCGCCACCCGGGCCCTCCTCCTAGGTTCACTCTACCCATCGGGCGATAATATCCACCAGAGGAATGCCCCCCCCCCCCCCCCCGCCTTGTGCCACGGGAAATGTCCGGCCATCGCCGCAAGTGGTCTGCCGAGTCTCGTGGAAAAGGCAAGGTGGGCCTGTTTTGGGTGCCAGGCGGGGTGCTTGAAAACGTGAACGCCCGAACTGCGGGCTATATTAATGATCCCCTCTTGGGTTGGCTTTTTACGCCCGCGGTTGGGGTGGCCCCCCCCCCCCCGGGGGGGGAGATGAACAGAGCGGCCGGCAGCTCGTCGATGGGTCAACCGCCCCGCCCTCCGCCCTTTCATGGCGTGCTGATCATCTCCCCCCCCCCCCCAACCGTGTACTCCTCCCGGCCGGCGAAAACGGTTACCTGTCTGATGCGAGCCGGTGACCGGAGGAGGCAAGCTCGCAAACCACCCTCCATTGCAGCGGGGCGGGGGGGGCCTGCCGAAGGCAGCGTGCGCGATGATGCGCCCTCGGCTCATGCCGGGAGACAGGGGCAGGGGGCAACGCCACGGCTTTAGTTCACGGCTGTGGAGGCTCGGCGAGGTGCCGTGTCTCGCTTCTGGGGGGGGGGCGGGCGGAATAATGGACATGCGTCTCTACAGGCATCTTGGCGTCTGCAGGCCGCGTTGGCGGAAAACAGTGCTGACCGGCTCCCCCCCGCCCGTCTCCGCCTGGAGCGGGTTGACGAAAAAGCCAGGATGGGGGGCCTCCCCGAATGCCACCGGTGGCAGGGTCCAAGGAAAAGGTTAGGTCGGCCCCTGCGCGCTGAGTGCCGCCTGCCCGAGGAGAGACCGGCCCCTCGGCTCCACCCCCGAAGAGCCCGCAACATGGGCGCCCCCTTTGGCGGCCAGGGCGGACGACCCGCCCCCCTTCCTGCCCCGGGGAGGGGCGTGAGGGCCGACCGACCGCGTGTGCAAAATGGGGGAGCAGCGCCCCCTCCCTGGGGAACCGCACGGCCGAGAGGGCCAAGCCCCGCGCCCCAGGGGCCCTTTGGTGGTCGCACATTAGTTACATGCGGGTCTTTCCACCGGCGGCCGCCCAGGCTCAAGACGCCTTCGTGGCGGCCCGAGTCGCAGCCGGGGCGCCCTGGCGGGCTCCGCGCATACGCCTATGCGACCGTGCGGCGAACATGGCCTTCAGCGGGGGGGGGGGGGGGCTGCAGTGTCTCCAGCCAGGGAAAACAACAGCTCCACCACCAACAACAACAACAATATCTCGACTGGGGTCGAGAGGGGCGCGCCACCCGGCGAGATGATCATCCATCGCGCGTGTGGCCGCCGCCTTCACCAGCGCCCTGGCCCCCCCCACCCCCGGTGCCGGGTACGCCAGCCGGAGTGCCCTTACTGGCCCCTGAATAAGTGACTGTAGACACAATGTGTGTGCGTGTGGTCCCTCCACGCCCCGCGTCCCCCGGCCCACTGCAACCCTCGCCTTGGTGCCCCGCCCCCCCCCCCCCCCACAGTGGCGTCGACGTAGGAGGGACGGAGGCGAGGGGTGCAAGCGGG